ATGATGGTGTGATCCGTATAGCATTGGGTTATGGCGTAAGTCGTTGTTGCTAACAAAGCTTTACACATAGACATATCATGCATGCACTTAAATCGTAGAGAAAAAGGCAGGCATGTAGCCCCTGACTTTCTATTAAGTTGGAGGCCAATTTAATAGTAAGTAAGAGCAAAAGTTACAAAATAAAAAATAATTATGGAAGCGATTTAGCTAGTCCAACAGGACGTTGGTGCAATTGTTGTCGAGTACTGCCATGGCGAGAGATGGCGGGTGGTCGAGAGCCGTGATGAGAGGTTGATCGTGACCGTCCCGAGGATGCCTGCCGACATTGCTCGAGTAGTACTTGTCGATGACGTTGTCAGAAACGGCATGGACAGCCCGAAGTAGTCCATCGATGGTGCGCCCAATTAGTCGTTGCCAGTGATGCTACCGCTGTACACCCAGTTTGATGACGCGTTCGCCAACGTGGATGACGAATCAACGAGCCACGGTGTGCTAATGACGAGGGCCACTCGGAACGAGGAATCAAAAGTCGAAATATAATGACGACAAAATGACACGAAACATCGACGACGGCCGCCTCAGGGTGTCGATGATGAGGGCTGTCGTCGGCTCCTGCCAATAGTAATTGTGTAGACACATACAGATATTGAGAGATATACATGTATTATAGATTTTTTAATTAAAATAAAGAACATGACTTAGTTCGAATGACGCTGAGTGGAGTAGTCGGCGTGTCATAATATCTGAGTTGATGGATGAGGCCCGGACGGCTCGCTTGTGGCTCGGATGGCTCGTTTGTGGCTTGGCGGATCGCTTGACTGCTCGCTGGCGGCTCGACTTGGCTCGCTCGTGGTCCGCTTGCGGCTCGACGATCCGCTTGACGTCACCAGGTTGGCTTACGCACGCTTCAGCCGCTTGGTTGTGCAACTTGCCAAAATTAACATGCATGGCTTTTGATAATCAACTCGTCTTGCATGGCCGGCTATCGCATCGTCTTGTTGCTGTGTCTGAGATGGATAGCTCTAGAATTCTTGCCGTAGTTGACACCAGCTAAACCTTCCATCAAAGGAATTGCAGCGTGCTGTGGAGATGCCGGATTCTTTGCCGTAGCGGGGGCAGATAGCGCGGAAGTCGTAGTCGGTCGGGGCTGATTGCCCTCGTGTTGGAGTCGGGATCGGTCTGCCTGATGTATGTGCATGCAAGTTGATCTTGTCCATATCCTGAGTGTATGTCTTCTTGCATATACGTGATGCCCGAGTGCATACGAGCTGGTCCTGGTTTGGCTTGCCTGATGAGTTGACGATGAGAGCCGCAACTGCCATCGAAGAGTCATGAAGACAGGTAGAGATACTTGGAGACATGCATATATACGAGAATATTTAACCGAAACATGGAACTCAGCTGTTTGGTGTTTTTCGATCCGGGTTGACGTCGAGTCTTTAAGGGCGTAGACAAGCAAGGAAATTAGTATACATGTATACGCACTCCATTGTTGCATGGCCCTATACACTACATGGGTGCTTCCTTGCTTGCTCACGCTTAGCGTCGCGTGCTGCCACGAATCCTGACGTCACGTCCGGTCGAAGCTTGGAGCAAACCCGATGGATTCCGGTGTGTGATGGCCGCATCTTGAGAACAAAATTCCTCCGACGATTGGTATGATCGATCTTCACGCAGAATTCCCCTACCTGATGCGTCTTTATCGGTGTTTTTTACCGCCAGATATAGATATTTGGTTCTTGGGGAACCCCATTTAGTACAAAGATTAATCACAGTAGAGACACAAGATTTATACGGGTTTGTGCCATAGAGAAATGAGTAAAAGCCGTACGTCTAGTTGCTACTCTTGTATTCGACGAGATTGCTGTTACAATGTAGCTATGCCTATGGGCGATGAAATATTTGATCTGAAATTCGATGGTTACAATAGGGGTATTGGTAGCTATTTATATCCGGGATCAACTTGCCCCCAAGCTAAGTAGTCGTGCCCTAGTTGGAGTCTTGGCGTAATCCGGAGATATCCTTCCTCGAATAGGGTCATCGCGCCTGGTCGGGTCTCTTCTGATCCAGAGTCGTTGTTCAGCAAATCCTATAGTCGGGATACACGGGGGTATGGCATCGACAGAGATGCTGAATCTGCATCATATGTTGTACCTGAAGATGCAACTGTCGATATTTTTTCATCTATTCAGATGCGTTTAGCATTGGATCTTGTGATATTTCCAATTTTTTAGATTGGTTGTTAGATTCGGCATACGGACTGTACTTTGGCTCCGGCATTCGAGGAAAGCCATTGCAGAAGAAGATGATGGAAGAATCTGGATAGCATATTATGTCTTTTTTATTTCAGATTTTTTCATATATAATTTGGGAATGTACTGTGCCCAGTTTTAATATAATCCCCTTTCCCTTCGCCAAAACAAATAAAAAAGGTGTATTTACATGATTATAGTATAATTATTGTATGACACCAAAAGAGGAAAAAAAGGGGAGCACGGTTTAACAAGAGAGGAAGTTACTGGCCAAGTTTTGAATTTTATTATGGACCTGAAGGGGAAGGAGGCGAGGGCGTGGAGTTAACAGCTCAAAGATGGTGCGCTCCGCCACCGGGGACTCTGAAGATCAATTGCGATGGTGCATTTACAGGATACTTTGAATGGTGGTTGGGGATTCATCATCAGGGACCATCAAAATGATGCCCTGGCAGCTGGTGCGGGGCGCCTGTCAGCAGTTCCGGATGCCCTTACTGCTGAAACAGCGGCGTGTGCAAAGGCGCTGCAATCATCGATAGATTTTGGGATCTCCCGGATACAACTAGAGATGGATTCATCGGTGCTCAAGAAGGCCCTTCTTTCATCCTCAATGGATTTAGCTGCAAGCGGGATGCTCATTAGGGATACTCGTGAGTTACTACATGGCTATTTCGTTTGTAATGATGTCATGTCAGTGCCTCAAGTCTGTAATTCAGTTGCTCATGAATTAGCTAGGATGGGGATGAGTTGCAACGCTGGTGAGTCTTGTGTTTGGACGAACCGCATCCCAAAATTTGTAAAAAAATTACAATAATGCTTCGGCTAGGGCGTTCGTCCTGTGTCGGTCCGTCCAAACGCGGCTAGCTGGGCCTGCGGACTGACCCACGGCCTGCTCCCGCATACAGAGTTCCTAAAAAAGGAAATAAATAAAATAGATTGACACTCCGTTCCCCATTTCACATCGGTCGCTACGGGCGCCTCCAACGCACCACCGCCCTTCGCTCGCCTTCTCCGCCGCTGCGGCCGTGACCCTCCCTCACTCCATGACGGCCGCTCCCCCACTCCATGGCGGCTCGAGCAATCCGTTGGCGCGCTGCCGGCGGGCTCAAGCAAGCTGCTGACCCTCCCCTACCCCGGCCGGCGGCGCCCTCCCCAAATCCGGCAGCGTCTCCTCTTGCTCGGCTGACGGCGGGCATGGCGGGGCGTGCAGGCGCGCACCATCCAGCGTCGCGCCGATCCACCTTGCCCGTCGCGAAAGGGGAAGCAGGGGAGGCCTGCGCCCGTGCCTGCGCCTGCGCCCCCATCCACCTTGCGCCGTCGGCACGAAGGGGAGGCCTGCGCCACCACAGTTGCCCACCAGGTAGGTAATGGCCGCGCGACAATGCTGTGTTTTAAGTGTTTCTAGACGCTTTTTCAGACATGTTGTAAGCCCATGTTTCATGTGTTTTAGTTATTTTAGATGTATGTTTTATGCGGATGTTGCAAAAGTAGATCGAGATGTTGCATATATTGCAATGTTTATACACGTATGTTGCAAGCGTCTATTTCTAATGTTTCATCTATTTTTTTGTACACGTATGTTGTAAGTTTTCATACACATGTCTCAAATCTATCTTCTTTTGTATGTTGCAAGTGTTGCATTTAGATGTTTCAAAAGTAGATCAGGATGTTACACATGTTGCAATGATGTTTCAACTGTATATTACACATATTTTATCTGTTTTCGACGTATGTTACAAAGATTTCATCTGGATATTGTAAAAGTAGATCGGGTGTTGCACGGCTCGGCTGGTGGCTGTCGCTGCCGACGCGGGACCGGCGCAGTTGTTGGAGCCGCGTCCAGACACGACATCCCATCCGGTCGTCTGGGCGCTAGTCCTTCCAGAAAATTTAGTGTCTTGCGACTTTGTCGAACCTATGGATGCAATAACAAGCCCTTAGAGCCGCTTTTAACTTCAAAAAAAAAGGTGTGATGCAGGTAGTCAGGACGCTCACAATATAATTCTCTTTTCTAATCACACCAACCCACCACGCATACATGCTTTTTGATCCAGAAGCTCATCATCCCAAACCAGCGTTATTCTAGATCATTTGGCTCACGCGAAAGCGAAACGGTGTGCCAATTCGACGACATATTCTACACCTTCAGGGGTTGAACGTTGACGGAATGGCAGCACGTTTCTTGACTTGTGTCTGCAACCCCGGCCACATTAATGAACTAATGGACCGACGAGCAAAGGTGCCGTACCAAGCCAACCCATGTGGGAGCTGGGAGGAGCCTCACTTCCGAGCGTCTCGTCCTCAGTCCTCACCGGACGCCACGAACCCCCGCCATAACCGCCTATTTAAAGCCCTCAGTCCGCCACTCTCATGGCAACACAAGCAGAAGCTGCAAGGCTAAAACCACCAGCAGTAGCACTGCCACGCTCAGCGCTGAGCACCAAAGCATCGGCCGACGATCACTGAAGTAATGGCCTCCGCCAACAGTTGGACCCTCGAGATCGCGTCGCCGGTGGCCGCGCCGCGCCTGTTCCGCGCCGCCGTGTTGGACTGGCACAACCTGGCTCCCAAGCTCGCCTCCCACGTCGTTGCGAGCGCCCACCCCGTGGAGGGCGACGGCGGCGTTGGCAGCGTCAGGCAGTTCAACTTCACCTCAGGTAAGTGTCCGCGGCATGCCCAGACCAACATGTTCTCTCGCCTGATGGATCAAACAGCTAGCTCATGACGTGCGATCGATCGCTCTTGCAGTCATGCCGTTCACCTTCACGAAGGAGAGGCTCGATTTCCTGGACCTGGACAAGTGCGAGTGCAAGCAAACGCTCCTCGAGGGCGGCGGCATCGGCGTTGCCATCGAGACGGCGACGTCGCACATCAAGGTGGAGCCCGCGGCCGACGGCGGCAGCGTGGCGAAGGTGGAGACGACGTTCAAGCCGCTGCCGGGCGTGGAGCTGAAGGACGAGATCACCAAGGCCAAGGAGTCACTCACCGCCATTTTCAAGGGTGCCGAGGCCTACCTCGTCGCCAACCCCGACGCCTACAACTAGATCGGTGGATTGGGATGCGATTCCCCTTCCTGAAGTTTGGGTTTAATTTTCTTTTTCGTTCCTGGAGTTTTCCTCTTTTTTCATACAAAACAAAATAAAGCTGCTCTATGCAGTGTGCGGTGTATGGACTTGAGATGTTATAAGTGGTATGTACGATGCTTTGTTTGTGTGATTATGTATATACCCTCATGGTTTTCTACGTGGGAAGAAAAAGGGCATGCCTAGTTTATACGAGGTATTCTGTTTTGAAATCCTATGCAAGTTTGAGTGAATAAGGAATGTTTGCTCATTTCGAATAGATATTTGGAGACTTTTCATTCTGGGGAATATGTCATTGTTGAAATTTGAAATTATTTTTCGAATAATATGAAGACTCCAGGAGTTATAGTGTTCACTAGAGAGGTGGGAGAAGTAGGCGTTTGTCATGACTCCGTGGGGTATGCGAAGACAGCGGCGGAAGCAAGCCTAGAAGCGGAGGTGTTTGGGATCCGACAAGAGAGAGGAACGCAATGGCTGCCTAGTGACCCGGAAGAAAGGAGGAAATGACAGGTGGACCCATACCGGATGGGAAGTCGACACTGCGTCACCTTAAAGGGGGCCAAAACGGCATGTAACGAACTTGCTCTGTTAATTGAAATCCAAACTCTGAAACCCCAAGGTACCTCCTGGTGGGCTCCCACTGCTGAAATTCCTCTGATTCCTATCCATTTCTTGTTGAATCTACCTCTAATTCTTTCTCAGCTATCTAAGTTCATCACAATTGGTACTCAGAGCAGGATGATTTTTGGCCAAATTTTTTCCATCGCCATGGTGACTCGCTCTAGTGTCAAAGATGAAGTCGACATAGGTTGAACTTCTCATGGCAGCGAACGCGAAGACCACCGACAAGAAGTTCGAGGGTATTGAGCTACTTCTTTAGCAGTTGAACTTATCAGCCCGGCTTATCAGTCATGTTACAGTGTTTTTCTCTTACAAAAAATCAGCATCAGCCGGCTTATCAGCCACAGAAACCAAATTCGAAAACGGAATGGAAATGGTTTAGGTATTTTCCGACCGTTTTCTACTTTTCTGCTTTTTATTCGGAATATCCCGTTTTTGAAATTCGGCTTATGAAAAATTGTATCTTTTTTCATACGATATTGGATGAAGGTGATTTTTATATGAAAATTATAGCTCTCGACAAGATCTACAACTTTCTAGTTTTCAGTTTTTTCACTGAGATCGTTAAGATGTTTAAAAAATTAAATAATTTTTGTGCAGTATATTAATTGCGTACAAACCCTTGTTGCCTTAGAAAAATCATATGTTTCTTATATGGTGTCAAATGGAGATACTTTTTATATAAAAGTTGTAGCACATGTTAATTGTTATGCATTTGGTCATGCACTTGTTAATTGTTATGCACTTGGTCCTATGGGTCACTATTCCATATTGATTTTTTTTACCAACCGTGTTCAACATAATTTCGTTCGAATTAGTTAGTTTTCGAAATTCTTGATATTTTGTAAGTTTGTGTTCGTTTTCGTGTTCGGCTTTACCGCTTTCGCTTCGTATTCAAATGTAGAAGTAGAAAACGGTTGAGGGGTTTTCCGACTGTTTTCATCCTAAACCAGTATGTCCCATCTAAGATATTCGTCAAATGAAACACATCCCTAGTTGTTTTCACCACAACTCCATCTAGTGATGACGGAGGGAATGACAGGTGAACCCATACCGGATGGGAAGTCGACACTGCATCACCTTAAAGGGGGCCAAAACGGCATGTAACGAACTTGCTCTGTTAATTGAAATCCAAACTCTGAAACCCCAAGTACCTCCTCGTGGGCTCCCACAGCTGAAATTCGCCTGTTTCCTATCCATTTCTTGTTGAAGCTACCTCTAATTCTTCCTCAGCTATCTTAGTTCGTCACAATTGGTACTCCGAGCATGCTGATTTTTGGTCAAATTTTTTCCATCACCATGGTGATTCGCTCTAGTGTCGAAGATGAAGCTGACAAATGTTGAACTTCTCATGGCGGCGAATGTGAAGACCACCAACAAGAAGTTTGAGGGTATTTAGCTACTTCTTCAGCAGTTCCTCGAGGCCCCGTTTGCTTGAACTTATCAGCCTGGCTTATCATTCATGGTACAGTATTTTTCTCTCACAACAAATCAGCATCAGCCGGCTTATCAGCCGTAGAAACCATCAGCCGACTTATCAGTCATGGTGCAGTAATTTTTTTATTAGTAATTGTTATGACAAAATTAGTGCACATTTGTCATGATAAATATACTAATACTTTAATTAACACTATTACTATCTTAAATTTCGCACAGATGTGCACTAATCAACATAGTATTACTTATCAAAACTAATCTTGTCATCATAATTACTAAATAATAATGTAACATACTAATAATTGTTAATTTATTTATTGATGACAAAGATTGAAAAACTTGGACAGACTTGTTCAACAGATGTTTATAGACAAGCTGATATTCCTATCTAAGTCACCTGCAAACGAAACATTGCTCGTCCAAGGACCACTATGTCCCATCTAAGATATTCATCAAATCAAACACATCCCTAGTTGATTTCACCACAACTCCATCTAGTGGTGCATGATGTGCAACTCAGTGAAATATTTTGGGTCATACAATCTCTATATAGTAGACGTGAAAACCCTTTTTAAAAAAACTTACTAAGACATTTTTTTAAATGATGCATATCCATATTGTATCCATAGATGTGCCTTATTATCATGTAAAAAGTTAAGATGAAAACTTATTTAATAAAAATGCATACGGAAATGATAAACTCTGGATCTGTTTGCGAACGTGCACATAAAGTTTATCATTTTGCATGGGTTTTTCTATATTATGTGTGTATCTTAACTTCTGTGGCTAAGTACATTGTAACGCGCCTTTCCCCTGGTCCCGCCGCCGAGCCGACGTCACCGCTCCGTAGCCGTTCCCATCCTGTCTCTTGCTCTCCCTCTGTCCCACGGGCCCAAGCTGAAATGGCACCTACGGCCGACAGATGAGTGGAGACAACGGTGACCCCACACGGCAGCCACAGCAACGCCCTCTCCCCTCTCCCTCTTCTTCTGTGGACTCGATGTTGGCGGTGCTTAAACTCATGATCCTACCGCCAACATTTAAACAAAATAAACAAATGAGAATACCAAAACTTAGAATTAGGGCATTTAACTCACACTTTTCACAAGTTTTGGTATAAGTATGTTTTTTAGGACAACTATGAAATACATGAGAAAATGCGCAATCAGGGAAAAGTGGAATGCGTATCCAGGCCAAGGAACACAAAGTAGCCCATCCAAATTCCAATTCTAGACAGAAGGCACCATGGGGACGCACTCTAAGTCCAGCCCAGAACCCACCGTGCGAAGGCGGTGGCCACCGGGGTCAGTGAAGGGGCGGCCGACCCATGGGGACGCCCGACCCCCAGGTGGCGACGCTCAGCCCCTCCTTTGTCTGGCGGTGGCATGGAGGCATGCAGAGGTGGTGGAAGCTGGGTTTTTGCGCCAAAGATAGCTGCAACACCGCTCTACTCCCTGCATGAGTAGAGTGGTAGATCTCCCCTCTACAACACACAACAAGAGAGCAAGAGAAGAGAAAGAGCCTCATTACTACTTATCTTTAGCTAGAATAAGAGTGGGAGTGGGTGAGGAAAGAGTTGGAGAAGTGCCAGGGCTGTCGGCAACCTTCCTTAGTGTGCTCGCTACAGTTAGCGGAAGGAGTGTCGGAGCTAGCAACTCCTCCACTTGTACCTCTACGATCCTCTTACTACTTGGAGTAAAAAGTTCATGTTTAACTTCGGCATTGATTTTTTAAGAAAGTTACCTTTATTCATTATAAACTTGTGGGTTCGTCGTCCATCCTTATGGCGGGTACTCTAGTAGAAGGGCCCTGATAAAGACGGATAACCCTTGCATGTGTGCTAGAGTAATAGTTGATAGTGTAGACGTGGTGTCTAGGCTAGAAGCTATCTTTGTTTACCTCGTTCCCCATGGTTGAGGGGTAGGCGGCAGGTGGTGACAACCCCGTCCGTCTCCTGTAATCCCCCACGTCCGGGTTCGACGTAGAGCTACAGGCCGGGCTCACTTGGTAGACCAAGTGCTACCCGGTGCCCGAAGCAAGTCTATAGTGTCAAGGTTATCTTCGCTTAGGATATCTATCCTTAGAAAAACCTCACTACCCAAGCTACCCTTTTACTTGTTTTCTCTAGACAAACTAGCTAAGAGACTTACACATCCGTTCCTTTGGGAAAATACGATACCCTGAATACTTCCGGGTGAAGTGCTACAACGGTGTATCCGTGCGCTTGCGGATTCATTTGCTTACGCTAAGAAACACCAACAAGCATTTCTGGCGCCGTTGCCGGGGAACGATTATCGTAATTATCTCTGAACCTAGTTCACCTGTGTATCCTTTTATTTTTCTTTCTTTTCTTTTTATTCTTTCACCAATGGAGCACAAAACCATCCAAAACCTTTCTGCTCCCAAGGGCGAGTTCATAGAACCACCACAGTCTTCGAAGCCAATCATAGCTTCCAGTTACGAACTCTGCCCTGGCTTTATAGCCATGGTTCAGGAACAAACCTTATTAGGTTTAGACTATGAAAACCCATACACACACTTAAGGGAGTTTGAGCAGCTCTATGCTTGCCTGACCATTGCAGGCATGTCACAAGAAATATTTCGGTGGAAGTTGTTTTCTTTCTCACTTGATGAGAGGGCAAAGCAATGGTATACCCACAACGTAGGGAAGGTAGCTGGCGATTGGGAAGAACTAAGGAACAGATTCTGTCTCACGTTCTTCCCTATATCCTGAATCGCTGCCCTACGACAAGAGATCCTCAACTTCCAACAAAAAGAGAAGAAAACTGTAGGTGCAGCATGGGACCGTTTTTAGTCCTATCAAGGTCTGGCCCAGACTTGTCTATACCAAGCCATGTGCTGTTACAACATTTTTG